TACTAAAGTGCTCAAATTTGTGTCAATTATGTGTTTCCTGCTAGCTGACTGGAAGTATCGCCATGCTGGGCTAATGGCGCTGTCGGCCATCGGTGAGGGTTGCCACCAGCAGATGGAGGCCATCCTCCAAGAGATCGTCAGCTTTGTCCTCCTGTTCTGCTCCGACCCTGTAAGGAAACGGCAGCCGTCGTATAAAAGTGCCACTCAGTTTACTTAACCGTCTTAATGGTTAGTTGGTCAATGTTTAGTCGCATCATTTCCCATTTCTTAATCATTTGCTCCTTTTTCCTTCCTAGCACCCAAGGGTGCGGTATGCCGCCTGCAATGCTATTGGACAAATGGCCACAGACTTTGCCCCCACCTTCCAAAAGAAATTCCATGATAAGGTATCTTAAGTGACTTAAACAGCTGTGCCAGCACTTTCATTTTCTTCATGGCTACAAAGACTGTTTGTTTGTTTTAGGTGATCTCAGCCCTGCTGCAGACCATGGAGGACCAGAGTAACCCTCGGGTGCAGGCCCATGCCGCCGCCGCCCTCATAAACTTTACAGAGGACTGTCCTAAATCGCTGCTCATCCTTTATCTGGACAACTTGGTGCAGCACCTTCATGTCATCATGGTTGCCAAGCTGCAGGAGGTACAGTAAAGTGTTCGAGGAGACCGTGCGTTCACAAAGTCGGTGTGTGTGGTTGGTCTCATACAAATCATTTCTTCAACCTTCAGCTGATCCAGAAGGGCACGAAGCTGGTGCTGGAGCAGGTGGTGACTTCCATCGCCTCAGTGGCCGACACCGCAGAGGAGAAGTTTGTGCCATATTACGACATGTTCATGCCCTCGCTCAAACACATTGTAGAAAACGCCGTGCAGAAGGAGCTCCGGCTGCTGCGCGGCAAGACCATAGAGTGCATCAGTCTCATCGGCCTGGCTGTCGGCAAGGAGAAGGTATACTTTGACCATCAAAGCATACCATGTGCCAAGATCCTAATTCAAGGTTATTCCCTTTAAATTAAGCTTTAACCCTCATATTCGCACATCTTTCTCTCTGCTCTTCTAGTTCATGCCAGATGCATCAGCTGTCATGCAGCTGCTCCTCAAGACCCAGACTGACTTCAACGATCTGGAGGATGATGATCCCCAGGTAGGACGACCTGAACAAAACTTAAAACGATCTAGTTCAAGGTGGTGGTCACGCACAGTCAGCTGCTATGGTTTGTTCTCAATTTAGATCTCCTACATGATCTCAGCCTGGGCGAGAATGTGCAAGATTCTGGGGAAGGAGTTCCAGCAGTATCTGCCGGTGGTGATGGGCCCCCTGATGAAGACTGCCTCCATCAAGCCTGAGGTGGCCCTGCTTGACAGTAAGTAACAGACAGCTGCCGCCTGCACTGACTTCTGATGCGTGTCCAGTTTGTTCTATAAGTCTGAAATGAAAGTCTGCAGGCATTCAAATGAGCAGATACCAAAGCACGCTTTAAACCTGATCAATCCAGTGGTGAATAAAAGCTGCAGCCATGTACCTTTACCCACATTGCAACGAATCAGTAGATTAATAGTCACAAATCTCTCTGAAGAATATCTGCTCACTGTCACGTGTTCATATTTAATATTGCAGTAATATGCTGCCTGCTGGGACTTCTATATGTGATTCTTGTATGTGTAATGTAAAGGATTCACTTAAAACTCTTTCACTTTCCTTCTTTTAAAGCCCAGGACATGGAGAACATATCAGAGGATGATGGCTGGGAGTTTGTCAACCTGGGAGACCAGCAGAGTTTTGGAATCAAGACAGCTGGCCTGGAGGAGAAGGC